AAGCACAGCGCCACAACACACCCCCGCCCTAGAGCCAGGGAGAGTCCCACCACCCGGTTCCGGGCGGGAGTCCCGCAGAATTTTCAACCACCCGACATTCCATGTCCACAAGCAGCAAAAAGATCCCAAGCCCAAGAACCCCCCTTGCAATAATATGCATATGGTCGGTCCCAACACACGACTCAAGCTTACCGGTAGACTACCAGCAGGGAAAATCACGCGATTACCGTAGCGTGTTACATACCCCCTCGACTAGAATTACAAACGTGGTGTACTAGTACCGGTACCAAGTACTGTACCGAGAAGAAGATACCGGTAGGATAGGCCCTCCACGGTACTGGATGTTGGTAGTGGGCTATTCGGTAGCCCCACTCGGTCCCGGGGGGAACATACCGTATTTCCTCTCCTCCCTTTTGCATTGCCACTGCAGACAAGAGTATAGTAGTCTATCCAGATCGGGATCAACCCGTGTTCGCTTGTCATATGTACTCGTACATATAACCATCGAGCTCGGTCGACTCATTCAACCCCCCTCCGGCGGCGGGAGCCAAGGCCGTACGGTAGCGCAGACCCATGGAACAACAATAAGAGTCAGACACCACCCAACCGCTCGGTGTCGGCTCAATACTGGTACCGATGTGGGGAACCCATACTTCAAACGGAATCCAGTGCACAACTTCATCTCGACCCAAAACACCGGTATGTTGCATACCTTCAGAGCGGGGAATTTACCCTCCGCTCCACCGCGCTTTACTAATCCGAAGACCCCACCCAGACACCGCGAAACAGGGCAAGGACTCGAGAACACTGCACGCAACACATCCACAACTCCGGACTTAATCCAGCGCTCGGTACAGTACGGTACAGTCCGGTGCTCGAGTAAATAAAACCTAAGCAGGATAGGGATAGACCGCCCGGTAAGGTAATCCACGTAAATCACCTCCCTCCGCTCCAAAAAAAAAACTCCCCGAGAAAAGCAAAAAAGAGTGGGTGGAAAAAAAACACTCCGTCGGACCGCGGAACGAACCCGGACCCGCTGCGACAAGGATTTTTCTTCCGGGAGGGGATTTCCTTGCTTCCCCAGCCAAGCGGCAGCGCGAGGCTTTCAAGTTATTGGGGTGAAGTAATCGAGCCCAAGAAGTAGGTAGGGTAGATATGTGTGCGTTGGTGCAGGCGAAAATTAATACTGATAAATTTAATATATTCAGCTCAACCCAGCCTAGCGCAGACACCCACCGTACCAATTATGACTCGTGCAGGAGCGGGCGAACTTACCATAGATTACCTGTACCGTACTGAGCTCGTAACGCACACCACGACCGCTGATGCCGTGACATTTGGAAGAACGAACCGCTGTTGAATGCCACCAAAATCCTGAGGCTCTGGCGAATTTCTAGCCATATGCAACAGCAGTCGTCCCATTTCACAAACGTCAGGACGAGTGCCCTGCACTCGAGTACGGTACAGTAGGGAATCATCCCACCCCACATAATATACAAACATACATACATGCATGCATGCATGCACGCACTCATACACACACAGAAAATTGCGCTCAGCTTACTCACTCGTATTACACGGCGCCGGGATTAACGGTCCTACGATACCGTATCATAGTAATACCGTGCTGCACAAACACGGCCATACACCACCTCCGCTCCACCACCACCACCATGCTGAGCCGTTATCTCTCCGTCCTCCTCAACCTTATCTACCCCCTCCCTCCCCCTCAAGTACCCGTACCCACCTACCCCCCGAGCGCACGGTATTTATCCTAAGCATTCCCCCGAACCCAACACCACCCGGCCAGTCCACCACAGCCAACCAAACAAACAATCGGTAAAACCAAAAAATAAAACCGAGAAATGAAATTCCAAACACCAACCACAACAATAACAATGCTCCTCCTCCTGTCCTTGCCAATACCGATCCTAGCAGACCCCCAGCCACCCTCCTCGCTGGATCCGCATAGACTACAAGACACTCTATTCACCCCCCAGAAATTCAGGTTCGTCCTCCTCCTCCTCCTCCTCTCCACCGCTACGCATGCTGTGCTTCTACGCTCGTGCTAACGGAGACATATCAGCACACAACGTCCGGATGGGCGAACGTCCTCCACGGCCGGCACAAAGTTGGTGAATAATTGGCGACAGGCGGTGGGTGGGATTGCGGTCGCGGTTTTGGTTGCGGTGGTCTAATCGGGGCGCGTTTCGTTATCGGGTATTATATCATAGTGCTTCATCACCCGAGGGAATCCTTTTTTTTTTCGGCGTTTTTCTTCGGCTTGGCGGGTGGGGGGGGTGTTCGGGGTTTGGCGTTTTTACTATTTTCTCTATCTTCCATGTTTTGGTTTGGGCCGGAGTTATTTTGTCTGGATGGATGGATGGATGGATGGATGGATGGAAAGGGTTCTCTCTCGTCGCATCGGTTGGCTTTCCGGAGAGTCTCTGTGGACTTTTTCGGTCAGGGGTGTACAATAATAATAATTATGGTGCATGGAACATTTCCTGTACTTGATAGGATACCGTAATACATGGAATATACAACATCGCACTCGGATATCCCTCCCTTTCTTCACCTGGTCACATACCAGTACGATACGGTGCACCCCCCCAGCCAACACAACAAACCCAAAATACAAACCACCTCTCACCACACACATCGGTAGACCATATACCTCGACACCACCAACCGACCAACCATACAGACCACCCAAAGCGCCGTAACCCCATCTAGCCAGCCATCAACAACAGCACAAACATCACAACCCATCACTCGCCTCCACACCAAATCTTGACACCACACGATCCCTACAAACACACCGCACAGCAAGCCACCCAGAAGAAAAATAAACCCCGGAAAGAAAGGGAAGGGACTCGGATGCAGATAGGTGATACCAACCCTTCATCAAAATAAGGTTTCCCAAAACCCGCTTGTCGGAAAATAAGGTACCGCATATATATATATATAAAGACCAGCCGTCCAGGACCACCATGAAGGTCACGAAGAGGAGAGGGAAAAGACAACCCCGCGATAAAACAGAGAAAAAGCATTCACAGCGCGGGAAAGATTTCCCAAAACTCGCTCTCAAGATCTGCGGGTCATCATACTAGTTATTCGTTCTCGGGATGCATTTAGTTGGCTGGTACAATTAATTCTGTATTCACTGCCGTACGCAATTGACTGTGGTGCAGTGTACTGTACGGTACGGTGAGTAAGCGCTCGAGAACGCCGTCCTCCGGACCGTCTAAAAAGGGGAAAGAAAAAGGTTGGGAACGAATTGGTAAGGAAGAGTTGCAAAAAAAAAAAAGGTGCATCGGATGGTTTGTGTATATACGGTTATGTTACATACATGTATGATAGACGACCCCCCCCCCCATAGAAGCTTTAGGAGGGTATGGGGGGATCATGAGGAGGAGGAGGGGGGGGACTAGCGATGGGCGGCGGTGGCCACAAGTGTATACCCTAGTGACCCCCGGATTTTCCCCATTCCATCGCGCATCATAATTCTCTGGAATGTTTTTTTTCCTTCTACCATATCACGATATTCAAAAAACAGTGTATATAATCAAAAGTGCTAACACCCCACACCATTATTTTAATACTTTTTTACTTTCTATCCACCTTGCCCCCCCCCCCCCCCCCCCCGTGTTCCTGAACTCCAAAGGTACGGATACCACGATACAACTGCGTGCACGAAAATCGCAACGAGGTGGAATGGAAAAAGCGCAATTTACGGCGCTATGGTACTGTACCAGCTCTGCCGTGCGCTTTGGAATTTGGGGAGTAAAAAGTATCCTACTGACATCACCCCCCCCCCCCCCCCCTACTATTCCATACTCTACCCCCAAAAAGCGCAAAATAGCAAGACCTTTATATACAACCTCAACTTTAAACCATTACCATTACCAATTTTTTAATTTTTCTTTCAATCTATCTATTTATTTATTTACCTATTCATCGCGGCACAGCTATGGGCGAAATCTCCGGCGCAGAGTTCTACATCATACCATACCATAATTACAATATATATATATATAAAGCCCGCGGGTACATCCCAAACCACACCTCCACGATAAACAAGTTCAAAACCCGAGTACCGTAAGCGAATAAAATACATCAATCCAGTGCGCCGTCCACAAGCGATTCATTTGCGCCATAGAACTTCAGTGTAAACCCGACCCGACCAGCCCCAGTCACAGGAAATCACTCACTAAGCTTGCCACGCGACTGTGTACTGTACAGTAATTTAAAATGATGTAGAAAACTCGACACGAGAAAAAAAAAAAAAAAACATGAAGCGGGATGGAGACTCCCCCCCCCCCCCCACCCCATTCACACCCCCTCGTTCATTCTTCGTTTATTTTTTTTTTGTCTTCTTTGTTTGCTCCTTTATATTCCGCATCTCAAGGAATTTTCATCTCTAGAGCTCGAGGAACGCCCGAGCTGGATGGGGGTGGTCCAGATTCAAGTTGTTGCTTCGGGGGGATTTTGGTTGGGGGGAGAGGGATGTATGATGCTAGATTCTGGAAAGTGTGCGGGCACTGTTTTGCACACGCCGCTGCGCCGAGAAGGTATAGGACGGAAGCCCACCTCGTTGTCCTATCATACCGAGCGGGCACAGCTCACCCGCTCAGAGCGCAGCATTGCCGGTGGCCATGACCCCGGCCTAGGTAGTATCCTAGCTCGGGATTGGCCAAGTGAACACTCACAGCCGCTCACTCGTCCCGCTTCCCCGGGAGACTGACCGGGTGGTATTCCGACACAACCCGAGGATCATTGCCATGACTTAGTTTGCGCGCAAGTAGTGTGCATGGAGCAGAGGGTGTGTGCTATCTTTTGGTTGGCTGTGGGAAGGGTGGCTGGGTGGTGGTTCGCCCAGGAGGATGGCAGGGCAGAGTCGATAACCTGCACATCGCATCACATCACATCACATCACATCACGACAATCGGCGTCGCACACAAAGCAATACTTCATAACGCCTGAGACCATCATCTGATATCTTCAAAGATCTCGCATTTCGCCCCGACCCTGCTGATGGTTGATCCGTCCCACCATCACCAACCAGCAACAAAAGAAGGTCAACAGAAAGACAAACCACGAAGCGTTGGGTTACCACAGACTTGACAATCATGATTGCACACCATCACAATACGCTATCATATCGAAGGCGAAGGGTATAAATCAGTAATATTCTCTCTTCCCCTCCCTCCCAACTTTAAGCCCTCCCCCCTCCCCCGCGCACTCAACAACCACGCACAAATCTACCACCCCGCACCATCAACCCCCAATTGCAATTCAAATCCAATGAATACTTCGCACCGGCCCCCCCCTCCATACTTACTCACTAGACATCAGCGTTATAAAAGGAAATTTGAAAAAGAAAGGAAACAAAGTGAAAAGAAAAAAAGAAAAAAAGCTTTTTTCTCCCTAAATATAGTAGTAAAAAGTAGACAATAAAAAAAAACCAATCTCAACACCGAGCGTAGAATAATAATAATAATAACCCCGACAAGCGTAAATCATGACACCAGGTTTCAATAAGGACAGCTTGAGAAGGAAAAGAAATAAAAATTGAGAAATGAAGCAAGTGGAGAAAGGTTATAAAAGGGGCAAAGAGAAGAAAGAAAATAAAAGAATCATACGACATAACGTACCCTCCCATTTGCAAACGAAAATCAAGATTTGGGGAATGAGAAAAAATGTATTTTTTTCCTAGATTGTTGGAACGCTCGCAAAAGCTCACCTCGGACCAAAGAAAGTAAGAAATAGGGAAAACCAACAGAGAAGAGAATGAGTACCAATCAGTTAGCGAGTAAAACGCGTTCACAGAATGATACAAATAGACTTCCTCCCATTTCTAGGACCTCTCCTGCTCTTCCCGCCGGGTCTGCCAAGTTGAGGCTCATTTCCATCGTTGACGCCAGGGCCTTGAGTCCTCTTCGCAATAGATTGTCGCTGCCTTCGGAGAATCCTCACAACGTCGTAAAACGCCCGCTCGACATTCACGCAATTCTTCGCGGAAGCCTCAACAAATTCACATCCAAGATCCCTAGCCAGTGCGTGGCCTTCCTGTGTCGAGACTTCTCGTTCGGTGACCCTGTCAGATTTGTTGCCCACAAGCATAATCGGAACGCTGTTATTAGCGGGGTAGTTTCCACCTAGAACCAGTTAGTAAAACGAAGATCCTCCATATTCAATCGACGCACCAGTTGTTGAGGATTCCTTCACCCGTAATATTTGCCCGTGAAATCGTGGTATCCTAGTAAAGCTTGATCTAGAGGAAATGCTGTATACAAGTACGAATCCTTCACCATCCCGGATCCATTGATCCCTGAGAGCCGTGTACTCTTCTTGGCCAGCCGTATCCAGCACTTCTAACATACAGGCCGTATTATCGATGACTACCTGCTTCCGGTAGGAATCCTCAATTGTAGGGTCGTACGTCTCGACAAAGTGATTCAGACAAAGCTATCGTTAATCTGTCAGAGTCAAATCCTCTTTCGCGAGGGGTCAAAAAGAGGAAACAGGGATCCCCGAGGTCCTACAAACCTGTATTGTCAAGGCGGTTTTCCCCACTCCTCCATCCCCTAATACAACTAATTTGTACAATGTCATTCGGGTCGCCATCTTAACGCCAACCGAAAGGTCAAGAAACGTTTAATTCAAACTGCGGTAGCGATCCAGTGTTAGCAGCTGCAAACAAGCGGGGAGCGGAGCCGTGGTATCTAATCTCTCCCTCTCCCTCTCCCCGATACAAATAGAAAATAAAAATAAAAAAAGAGGTTTCAAGTGGTGAAAGGACCAATCGGATCAAATGAGTAAAAGGGCAAGAGACAATACCAATTAACTTAACCGATATCAAGGGTAGCGATGCAAATCTGATGAAATGGACCCAAGGGTTCGCAACGGATGATACTGCTTTCGGATGTTTGAAAACCCCTTTACGACTACCCGAAACACGTCAGAACAGGCTAACTCAAGAAACACGTGGAGGAAACAGAACTAAGTCAACCACAATCTCTCAAAAACACTGGAACCCCGGACCGAAAGAAACATCTCGCTTGACGTCGATGGAGCAGAGGGTAAGTGAGGAGGGACTAGGTGAAGAATGCACGGAATGTTTCGGCCCTAAAAGAAAAGGAAAGGAAAGACGGGAAAAAACCGACCAAACAAAGACACAAGAGCTTTGTTCCCCAATGACGATTATGTGGAAAACACAAACAATCCAAAGGGGGTTCTATCGCGCTTCAATACTCCGGTGACTTTTATACCCTTCTATATTGCAGCCCAAGGTGGATTTGTCGCAATGTTATCGTCGGTGATACGTGAGGCTGAGGTGTAATGTGAAGGGGAGGGAAAAAAAGCAGGAATACCTACACGCATGTCTCACGTTAGATACTCACCCAGAAAAAAAACCCTAAACCCGAACCGCAGGTTAAAAGAAAAATGCCTCCCCCGATAGCTACGGAAAGGGAAGGGTAAGAAAAGAAAAGAAAAAAACTCGACAGCAGGGAGCATATTGCGGAAGGTAACAGAACGGGATGGAGGGGTAGGACACGTACAGGACTCGTTACTATGGGACGAAAATGTTCGGCTAATAGATCGTCAATTGAGGTGTTGGGTTGCCGCGGGATGAATAGCGATCGAGGGATAGCAGGAAAGAGGGATATAGCAAGAGAGATTGAAGCTAGTGGATTGACGTGAAAGGAAGTAAATCTCGATTGTGGCAACGTAAGTCGTGGTCGCGTGCTCGGTAGAGGTTTATGTCTAATCGAGGGGATGTCTTTTCTTGCAGAGAGGATGATGGGGAGATGAAGGGATGGATAGGTAGGTAGGCAAGCAGGTGGGAGGCGGAGAGATAGCAGGCAGGTATAGGAGATAGGATGGGTAGGGTCACAGAAGCGGACAGAAGTAAATCGATGATGTCTCCGGAGACCCAAAGCCCAGATGCTTGTCGTTGCCAACGAGACGGTCTAGCCAACATCCAAGGATATCAATCAAATGGGGAGGGAGGGAGCTTGTGCGAGTGCGGAGGGAAAGAAAGAGCAAAATTTGAATCCGATGCTTTCCACCTCAACAAACATGCAAGTATAAAATTGAATCGAGATGGAAAAAGAAATGAAAAAAAGGATATGACAATGAACTACCTCCCGAGAGCAAGGAGGACCGTACAGGTAGGTGGTTACCGGTAGGTAAACGGATAGATAGGCGGGTATGTTCGAGAGAATAGACAAGGGATGGATGATGATTCTACAGGAATGATAAATAAAACAAAATAAAGGGTTCACGTACGTACCTTTGTCGAGAAGGAAGGGCAGGGAGAATGGAAAAAAAAAAAAAAAAAAAAAGGCAAAAAGAAAGCAGTGCTTCAGAGGCAAGGCGTGGTGTAATGTGATGGATGGGGGAGGGTGTGAGTTAGTCGGTTCGTTTGCTCATTCGCTCGTTCGCTCGCTTGTCCACCAGCCGAGCCGCCCCGATGGGGAGGAATTTGTCTTATATCCGCTGGAGAATAAAAATCAACGCTCTGCGCTTTGGATACAGTGCGATACTCGTGGCAACCGTATCGTGGCTAAGGATGAGGATTATGGTGGGAGATGGGGAGGGGAAGCGTGAAGGACGTAACGAGCGATGAGAAAAACGAGTGAATGAGTGGGTAAGTGTGAGGGCGAGAAGGTGGAAAGGTGAAAATGGGAGTGGGAGAAAGGAAAGTGTAGGTAGGTAGGGTTCCTTCTGGGCAGGCCAGGTGAATGCCGTGTTTGAGGCAGTAAGATAGTCGGACGCCTCAACAAAAATAAAAGTATAAAAATAAAAACATCTCCAAAACGCTGCGAACGCACTATCCTACAGCTACCGACGCCCTATCTATCCAAACCGCCATCTACCGCGATACCATACGATACGTATCAGTTGACCCCCAAATCACATGACTCTTGTCTTAGTCATCATCCCGAGCCCAATCTGATCAACCCCTTCTCCCCTTCTCCGCTCTAGTATCTCCATGTAACCTATGATACCTGACCGCCCTGCCCGCCCTACCCACATACCCTACCGTACCCACACGCACACACGCGAAAAACACGTGCCATGTTTCCCAAAGCCCAGGTTATGGGCAGCCCAGCATGCAAACGGAAGAGAAATCGAGAGAAAAGCAAAGAAAGCCTCATACGGTATGAGAAGCAGAAGCAGGGGGAGGGGGAGGAGGAAAAGAAAAGAAAAAAAAGATATTGTAATAATGTCAAATCAAAGAAAAGCGGCCGAGCGGGATTGGATTTAGTTAGGCCGGACTGGGAGGGGAAAGGAAGGGAAGGGAAGAGGAAAAATAAGATTTGGACAGCGCGTCGGGATGTGGCGTTTGGGAATTTGCAGTTGAGTGGTGGCTGGTGATGGCAAGTGGGGATGGCACCCGGTTTCACACTGTACGGGTATTCTAGTTTAGCTTACGATACCACAAGAAAGCCAAGATAGACACTAGGAATTTGATGCTGTAGTATTCAATTACCGAGAATACTTTGGTGGTCCGATCTGCCATGCTGGATCATCTCGAGGCCTCATATCACCAGGCTATGATACTTATTAATGATTGTACTATGCTTACACCCCTAGTATACCCCAGATATGTACTGTAGACAGGAAAACCACCAGCATAGCACCGACCCACAATGAAATGTGATGATAGGAAAGGGGAGGAAAATAAAAAAAAACTTCAAAGATCGACGAACCAACCCAGCCAGCCAACCCAGAAAGATGACAAAAAGGAGAAAGAGAGAAAATCGAGAAAAATAGAAGATATAGGAGCGTTATACCGTAGATGGATGTGGGTAGAAAATGACTACTTTTAAATGATGAGGGAGTACAGGTAATGAATGCTAAAGGAAAAAGCGGAAGAAAAGCAAAGCTATGGTACACATGAATTAGAATCCACGAAAGGGATCGTCAGCCCGGAAGAACTCGTCGTCAACGCTCCTCTTGCCAGCTTCGCTTCCACCAGCATAGAAATCACCGCTTCCCGACCAGTAGCTCTCCTGCCTGCTGCTTCTCCTGTCCCTCCTAAGGCGATAAGAACTTGGCTTATTGCCCAGGTACTCGTCCTCCTCGTCAAACTCGAATTTCGGCTTCGGATCAATAAATGCTTCCATTCGTACAGTGCCAATTGGTCCAGATTCCCATCCACCAAGATTCGGCCCCGGGAGTCCATGATTTAAAGAGCTATTTCCGCTCACGAGCCCGATTCCACCGACACCCATTGGCCCGGGCGGATAGTAATCTCCATTTGATGAGCCCCCAATGGAAGAGTGCAGACTCGGGTTATATCCATGACTTATCGAGCGGTTTGTGCTTGATCGAGTCGTATTGCTGCGTTTGCGACTGTGGCCAGGGAATCGGGGGATGCTGGGTGGTTCTGCTATACTGTCGGTTGTCATGAGACCGTGGCGGTCAATGTCCCGACGCAAGTTCCTCCCGAGACTGCTGCTTCCCGCGTACCCGTTCACTTCCGACTTACTAGCTTTTGAACGGCCCTTGCCCTTGGCTACCCGTATCGAGTCTCGAATAGGATGGAAAGGTGGATCGCGGTTCACGGGAACGGGAGGAATGGGTGGCCGAGTCAGAGGCGGTGATTGCGGCCGCTGCTGCTGCATCTGATCATATTCAAATGGCATAGGAGGCGGGAGGGCAAGCAAGCCTTCACTTTCATGGGCAGAATGGGACAGAAAGCTCAGGGCCGTCAGCCAAACATAATGCCTTTCCTTGTTCGGAGCCGTGAATTTGAGAGCCCTTGCAGGTGTCAAGATGAGAATGCTTCGGTTGAATAGTGGCTGGGTTGGATTGGCTCCCTTAGGTAGTGGTGTATCATCCTTCACATCCAAGACAGATTGGATGGGGACTTTGTTCATCAGTACCTTATCCAGAACCAGGGAGAGGCCGGCGGGGGGTTGAAGGATTGATCGCTTACGTTTTCTGCCACTCTTCCCGAGCAAGGCGTTTCCGCTGGTGGGTTGCCGACTGGACCACATAACAGCTCTCTCATAAGGTGCGAGCCAGACCCATCGCTTATGTCGTTGACCGCCACCAGTGGCGCTCTCGTCTCTGCCATCCCAGGCCTGGGGGGAATCCGGGACTCCGAAGGACCTTCTCCGACGCACATATTTCCACATCCACTCACCAACCATGGTTTGCGCGATCGCATCCACTACACTGATCTGTTGAATCGAGCTTCCGATTGAAGCATTGCCTGTATTGGAGGTGTTCGTGCTGGCCTGGTGCTTATGCCTGGAAGCTGAAATTTTCTGCTTATCGAATGCAGGGGCAAGTACTTCATCCTTGGGTAGAGGGGGGAGGAGGGGACTGTCAGGAGCTGCTGAGGAAGCGCTGAGGGGAGGAGGTGACCTGGTCCTAGAATTGGCCGTTCGAAGACTTGGGAGGGCGGCAGCAGAACGGACCTTACGTATCGACGGTTGTCTTGCAAGTTGTGCCAGGGGAACACCCCGCCTGGGAAAACCAGCGGATATGGGTGTTGGACTTTCGGTCCTAGAACTGGCGTAACTTCCGACCTTTCTAGAGCTGTATCTAATGGGTACGGGGAAAGGCGGTCCAATCTTAGGGCCGCCACTCTCACTCGTCCGATTACTAGTCAGACTTGGGCTCCTAGTGCGGTGGTGTGCATGCACGCCACTAGATACCATCGCATTACGACGGATATTTGTGGGTTTCTTATACGCTTCGTAGACAATACCATCCGTGCCCTCAATAACGGGGGAGGGTCTACCTAGACTGCTAATCCGATCCCTCTTCTTGGGCTTTGGTGCAGAGAGTGCGGTCTTGAACTCGTTGCCACTGAGATCTGCATCGTCGTGAAAGTCGTCATCACCGGAAGACTGTGGAAGATCATGCGACAGATCAATCCCATTAAACAAGTGTTTTCGAGCACTATCCTTGTCCTTCTCTGGGGTTTCCCCAAGCTCGGAAGGCTCCTTGGGGGAACTAAATACAAGAGCAGTTCCTGGAGGACCAGGGCTATCCGGAACAGATCTGGGCGCAGAGGTGGGTGCAGGAGCTGACGTGGGAGCGGTCGCTATGGTAGCTATCCTCTTGATGTTTCTCCTAGAACTCTTCTTAGGAGGACTCGGTGGCGATCGTTCAGGCCGGGCTGGAGGGGGCACAGGAAGAACAGGGTTGTTATTAGCCAGGATCGCAGCAGGCATCAACCTTGCGGGCAACTTCATGATACGGTCCTCAAAGGCGGGCTCATCTGTCTGCATTCCCCGAGCCTTTTGTCTAAGATTACGAGTCTGAACTGCAGCATCTCTCATCGGAACCTTCGGCCGCCCAGGGAGAGGAGGTGTTGGCGGTGGAGGAGTAACCGCAATTGTTGGAATAATCTGTAAAGCCGGCGGCTTCATCGGATCTGTCTGAGTCCCAATAGTTTCATATATCACCGGAGGTGGCCGGGTAGGCGACTTGGGAGGTGGTGTTGGTGGTGGCCATTCGACGGGCTCCTCGGCGGGCTCGGTCTGTGTTTCGATTGAGACATATGCCGGGGGCGGGTGATGTGGTGGAGGGGATGTAACGCCAGCGGCCCGCTTTCGTCCCTGATTGGCTTCATAGTCTCTTTGAATGTGAGCATCGTTCTCCGTAGAAGCATGGTCGTCAAGAGCCAGGGCAGGGAACTCTTTCCCGATAGGTGAATCAGGAATAGGTGTGACAATGGCTTCCTTGTTGTCAAGCATCCTCTCCCTCTCGTCAAGATTCTTCGCTCTCTCATCAAGAAATTTCGCCGTCTTTTCGAGTGTCTTCTCCTTCGACTCGATGGACGCCCACCGCTCTTCGACTTCGCGGCTTCGAATTTCAAACACCCTGACCTTTTGTCCGTAATCAATCTCCTTATCAGCCAAATCACGCTTCTTCTTGGCAACTTCCTCAGCAAGCCCATCAACCTGCTCCTCAAGCTCCCCGATCCTCTCTTGAGATTTGTCAAGTTCTACGCAGATACTCTCCAGCTCAGAAGATTTTCGGTCGAATTCAGAATAGGTTCGCTCGAGCTCAGCACGGGCCTCTTCGAGCAGCACAATCTCTGGCCGCTCCACTTCTTCATCCGACTCTCCTTCCTCTTCCACCTGGATACCCGTCTCACAATACTCCCGCACGGGTTGATGATCCCCCTCATCTTCGGTTTCCGAGCCGCTGTCGCAGCCAGAGTCATTATCACCTGCAGGCTCAGCTTCGGTTTCTGTCCTATTACCATCGTCATCATCCTCTTCATGAGCTTCGTATTCTTCGTCCTCTCCCTCACCATCATCCAGGTCTAGTTCATCTGCCAAGCTCAACCCCTGATTGCCAGCCAACATAGAAAATCTGATCCCTAGGCGTTCAGCAACATCGTCACCCATCGTCAGACTATTTGGTCTTCCTTGAATGCTAGTTCTGATACTTGCCGTATCACTCATGGCGACCTCCGATGGGGCAGTATCCTCATTCGCAGGTTCAGACTGAGGCATGGATAACGAAGGTGGTGGCATAGCATTCGCAGCCGATAACTCATCCAAAAGAGCCTTTAACCGGCCTTCGGCGACATGAGTCCGCCGCTCCTGAGCTCTCTTCCAGTCCACCCATTCCTCACGCTCTCTCTCTAAAATTGCCTCGCGTCTTTCAAGCTCTTCCTCAGCACTCCTTCGAGACTTCGCATGTCGCTCCACTTGTCGTTTAAGCTCAGCTACAGTTTCAACTGCTTCGTCTCTCTCTTTGGCCACAGCTTCAACAGCACCGTCATTCTCAACCCTTGCCAATTGACGTTTTATGTCCCTCACTTCCCGCTGCGCAGTGGCAGCAGATGTAGTAGCTGTTTCGTGTTCCGATCTCGCAGCCGATAAATCATGCTCCAATGTATCAATAAGGCTCGCTTTAGACTCCAAGTCCCTCCGTAATGACAGGATCTCGGCAACCAGGTTGGCATGAAGAGTAGGCGTAAACCGGCGGGGGTCGAGAATTGAAATGGTGTCGTCAAAGGTGTCGTGATGATGAGACATGCTCATACGATGAAGCGGAGACGCTCGACCGTTTGTCGTGGGAGGGCTGCTAGAGAGAGGATATGGAGAGGGTGATGGGGATGGGGATGGAGTCGCATGGCGGCTAGTATGCCTCGATAGAAGCGGTGTCCTGTAGGGAGTACCAGCAGGTGACGGTAGCGGAGCCTCGGTGGCATAATCTGTATCATCCAGGTCCATCTCGGAGAGAGCTCCCCCAGACAAAAATCGATCGTCCATTGGATTGGCATGTACCGTCGCCGCAGGAGTGATAGTGGCGGCAGATCAGTCAAAACTGCCCCCGGTGGAAATGCGGGTTGGGAGGATATGGCTCCCCCGGTGGTTCCTTGGTCTGTTGGCAAAAAGCGCAATGTCGCACCGAATAGAGTGAGAGATAGGAGCAATAGCTGTCCAAGTAGTGGTCCCTGCTTCTTCCTCCGGCGATCTATTTTATAAATTTTGAATTGGGTGGACCAGTTCACAGCTGTGCAGACAAAAAAAAAAAAAAATCTCATGTAGTGGTTATCGAGGCAGTACAAATGCTAGACAAGCTATCTCAGGATGGGTCAGGTCAGCAGGGGCAACTAAGACTTACAGCTCAAGGGCACAAGAGAAACTTACACATCCAAGTCAATTGAACCAAACAGACCAGAAAAACTTGACGGCTAGCCGACTAATTGAATAGAGCCGGACAGAACCAGTTCCGGATGAACACCTCTCTTTAGTACAAAAGCACTATACCGTCAAACACAAAATCTCCTAAATATACAACACGCAACGAGAAATAAACCGGAACGCTGCAGAAGAGAAACGAAACGGAAAACGAAACAAGTGGTGAAGCCAATCTGTCGAAGAGAGCTGCAAAAGCACAGACAAGGCAGCAGCTACCCGTCGGGTTCTTTTCTTTTTCCTTTTTTATCACTTTCGGTACCGTTAAAAAGTTCCCCTCACTCCCTTCCGATGGGAAAGGTGTCTAAATAGTCGTTGACAGCAACGACAAAATTAGACACTGCATCGACGACCTCCTTCCCTTTCCTCCCCTTTTTTGCCCTCCTGCGGTCGTGCAATTCCAATCCAATTCTGCTCCCTTCACAATTGTAATTCCGCGTTCAATTGGTCCGATGGGACTTCTTTTTTTTTTCTCTCCTTTTTTTCCGAACCGGGCGAACAGGTTAATCGAGATGGGGCGTCTAAAGCATTAAATTTATCGTATCCTGTGGGAGCTGGTTTGAGGGGAAGCTTGTGGGTAGCTCTTCAAATCGTCGAGAACAGCTGGGGGTTTCGGAACACAGGCGCGCTTGTTGGAGGGATGATGGTTGGATGAACGTCAGATGGGACAGGTCTGCAGCGTAGAATCCTGCAGCAGAGTGACCCCCGGGTTAGCGTGGATCAACGGGACAGGGAGAGTTGGTTCGGAAGCGAAGGAGCGTTTCAAAAAAAGAATTCAAGAGCTCGGAGGGAGCACACACTTGGATGCAGAAGGAGAGACTGAGTGAGGAGCTCAGGATGGCAAGTGAAGGTACGGGGGGGAGGAATAGGTACCGTAGGGGGATATTGATATGAAGGGGGGTGTGTGGAGGATGAAGGTGGGAGGGAAGAACGGGATTCAATCCCTACTCGTACAGAGCACAGAGCACAGAGCATGCAGCGATGCTCAGTCGGTAAGGTGAGCAAAGCTAGTGTGAATACGGTACGGTACCGTATCGTCGTAATGTACGAGTGCACACGGACTGGGAAGTGGAAAGGGAGATTCCAACGATAGGACGAGAGTGAAGGAAGGTGGGTCGGGGAAGCGTATCAGAATGCACGTACCGAGCTCAAGGGATTGGTCGGGACGAGATGTTTTCTTTTTTCCTTTCTTCTTCTCAATTCAATAATACCGGTGCGATACCATGTCCGTTCCTTCCCAATAAACTACCGGTACAGTGCCTCCTTCGAGACCTTCACTTCTGCCCCGAAGTCCTAACAACCTCCAAGGTAAGAATAGAATAGAATAGAGAGGGGGAGAGAGGGAGGGAGGGAGGGGGAGTAAAGAAAGGGGATGGGTAAAGGGGGCGGATTGAAGCTTCATTTCTTATTTATTCACTTTTTTTTTTCTTGTCCAATCCTATCCCATCACCTATGGTACATGTACGTCCACACGTCCATCCACCCCTTCTCACCTTTTCCCTCCATTAGGGTCCGGTACAAGCACAGGTACCTCACCGAATCCTCACTCCTCTCCCCTATCGGTACCCTTCAAAAGGTTTGGTGCCCCGAGTGGGAGAGCAGAGAGGGCAAAAATAAATAAAAATAAAACATGTACCGTACCGCTAAGGAACAATGGGAAACGGACAGACCGGGGATCGAAATTTGGCGAAAGCCGCACGGACCTATTGGGGCGTTATATAGTACCCGAAACAGGGGTCACTCCCAAATCGACCAGCCCCAATTACAGTACCCTACCGGTACAAGTACTCGAGTACAGCTGCGATTGTGTCAGCAGCGGCCGTGGCAAGATTTCATCACCATCCACGCTACCCTACTGTGCTTGCACCGTAGCACAAGCAGCCTCACCATGATCATAGATTTTTCCATTCGCAGAGATCCGGAGAGGAAGGCCAAGTCACTTCTACTCATGCTAGTGCCTCAGCTCATGTGGAGCGAGAAATGAACTGTGGCGAAGAGGGGGGAACATCATACTGGGAGAAGAAGGAAAGCGAGAACGAGGCAGAAACGCGCATTACCGGTATTATTATTAGCAGGGCTGAAAGGGAAAGGGCCACAGACCTCAAAGCCCAACCTCACTCACAAGTTACGGTCACCGAGATGGGTGGGGCCTACCGTCAACCGGACCGGCGATCCTGGATATGATATGCCACTCCCACAGAAGGTCCCAAACAACTGGTTCAACATGTTGCTTGTGCTGGTACCCGAGTACTTGTGTAGGACCCGCGGGTATTCCTTCTACGAATACTCGTACCGCGCATTAGATACCTCTATTCCATCAGGAAGGTACACGTGTAAAATACTTGGAGCTAGAAATGACTGCTTCTCGTGCCTAGGGAATTCCTCCTTTCAAACGACACAGGACTTTTTTTCCCCCCCCATCTCCGATGGCCCTCCCTTCGCATCGGAAGAGCAAGAAAGAAAGAAGAAAAAAACGTGACCTCGCGCGTCCGTCCAGTACTACAAGAGCATGCATGCCTGCAGGACAATCTACAACTGTATATCTACCCCATCGAGAGCTTCATCCCCAGCAACCCCCCGCTCGGTTACGCAGTGCACAGCACTGGAGAGATCTAAGCGACTGCTGTGCAGCATAAGTCGAGTTGGGTTGGCTTTATCTGCCAGACCCACGAGAAATCGACCCTTACGGCTCCCCTCCCTTCTCACTCTCCCCACTCGGAAACACCCGACGCCAAGAAACGCGAAATGAGATGCAAGTGCAAGGGGTGATGGTTTCCTACAAGTACGAGTACAACTACTTGTCTGAGGCAGGGATCGCGCGTTAACCTCAATTAACTGATCACTAACCTTATCCCTGCTACCCGTACCCCACCTACAAGTACCAGTACTTGCCTAATCCACCCCCCGATAAGCACCAGAGCCAAACCCCGAGAGGCTTAGCTGAGCGAGTTAACGAAATCATCCCCACCAGTTACGAGTAAATGGGGCAGCAAGCTCAGCCCGCTACAGCTGTTAACTATACCCGCGTAGGGCGAACACTATTCCTTCTCGAGATGTTTTTGCCTCTTAATCCGGAGATTAGGGGAAATACGGGGATAGCGGATTATTATACCTGTACGGGATTTTACGGGAATGGGGCGAGTTTCCCCGACTCACCCACACCCGTCTCCGTGAGAGTTCTGTCGGGAAACAACTGACCGCTTAACCCGTTTGCCTTACCGTGCCGAGCACTGTAGAACCGCTGCAGTACTCGTACTTGTGCGTTTATTACCCCCCCTCCCTCCCCTATAGTATCAACATTGGCCCACAGTGAAATAACTCCATACGAACGCCCGATGCAGTTGGAATTCGTTTATATTACCTTGCATTGTCTGCTGTACCGGCCCGTGTGTGAAGGGAAAAAAGGAAAGGAGGGAGAGAGAAAAAAGCAACCTCAGTTACCCGTACCGGGACAGTACTAGTAGGAATAAGGGCGTTGAGTGAAACGTGCGTGTAGCACGGGTGTTATCTTTGGGGTCTGCTGGATTCATCAGATCACATTCGATTTGACGGTATTTTCTGTTTTATTTTCCTTCCTTTTTCTTCCGTTATTGATACCACCCCACTGCACTCGTACCGTACGAGTACGGTAAACGTTTGAATCGACTTGTTTGTTTCAGGATCACGCACTCGAGTACTGAATCGGAGGCTATCATTTCACAGTTCTTTATCGGTGGATTGTGGGGATTGGTGTGGAGCACACGGGAGCGAGAAGCTCTGGTATATAATAAATTATGCGGGGTCAAGTTAAACTTTTGTTTCCTGTCCTCCTCCTCTCTCTC